TTGATATTAGAGTGCGCGCCCATGCGCGCCCAAGCTTGGAAGTAGTATTTGCGTGCGCGCCCATGCGCGCCCAAGCTTGACGTTGATATTTGAGTGTGCGCCCATGCGCGCGCAGGCTTGATATTGATATTAGAGTGCGCGCCCAAGCTTGGAATTGATATTTGAGTGCGCGCCCATGCGCGCCCAAGCTTAGCATTGTGAGCCCATGCGCGCCTAAGCTTGGAACTGTGATTTGAGTGCGCGCCCATGCGTGCCCAAGCTTAGTATTGCCTTTTGAGTGTGCGCCCATGCGCGCCTACGCTTGGTATTGTCACATGAGTGCGCCCAGGCTCGGGTAGGCTAAGTGAGTGAGTGCTCTGATGATTCTGGAACGCACGCCCTACCAGTATGATGGTCGAGGACGCGCGCCTTGCTAATGTGATTAGTCTTGAGGACGTGACTGAATGCCTCTGATGATATGACTGGCCCCAAATCCCACTGATTTGATTTCTTGCCGATCAGTCTCTGCATGGACAATCAGTCCCCGTGCAGACGGTATTTTCCTGCACGTATGATATCACCGCAGTCCAGTTTGCACGCGCAGTATTTTGCAATTGGCCTCTGCATAGATAACACCTTGATGATCAGTCCTCCACAGTGACGATGCTGGCAGTTCAGTCCACACGCTGCAGAGATGTTTATATGACGTTGCTATGCTGAGCTGCTGAGTTGCTGTTCAGCTGGGCCCATTCAGGCGGGCCCTTATATCGAGTTGTTGCTGTCCAGCCGGGCCCATTCAGGCGGGCCCCTATATCGAGTTGTTGCTGTTCAACCGGGCCCATTCAGGCGGGCCCCTATATCGAGTTGTTGCTGTTCAGCCAGGCCCATTCAGGCGGGCCCCTATATCGAGTTGTTGCTGTTCAGCCAGGCCCGTTCAGGCGGGCCCCTATATCGAGTTGTCGCTGTTCAGTCGGGCCCATTCAGGCGGGTGCCTATGCTGAGTTGATTGCTGATCCCATCGAGTATGCTGAGTTGATTGCTGATCCCATCGAGTTGGGTTATTTTCGTGAGTTGTTGATATCCCCCTCATCTCCAGGACATCATTGCTTGTCATATCAGCTTGCCAGGGGCATTCTACATTATTCTACAGATTGGTCAAACTGGTTTCTCAACATGAGATAACCCCTACATGGGGTAAGCTGGTTGAGAAGTTCTGCTATCGACACATTGGGCATCAGAGCTTCGCCATTTGGGCCAATGAGTCTCCCACATCAAGGTACACGTTGGTGATCACTTATCACGTGAGAGATGCTGGGCAGGGAGTGAAGGGAACCACCTATGACCGGATTGCTGACTATATCTTCCACAGAGAGAGTTAATGGAGGGAACACTGGTTACATGTGGTGTTTCCCCAGATCCCTTTTGCACCAGGTGGTGCCCTCTATGACTTTGACGGTTGTAATCCTAAACCGCTGAGCAGAGGTGGCAGCAAGGAAAAAAAGCGTCAAGATAGGAGGATCAGGAGCGAGGTGGCCAGATCCGGGATACCTATTACCACCTGTCTACAGAGGTCAGAGACAGACGAGTCAGACCAAGAGCCTTGCTGCGTGAGCGATGTTGACCAGGGGGACTATTTTAACTGGGATACTCACAGGGACTGAGCACGCTTGAGTTTGGAGCAGGCCCAGAGCATCTTATGACATTGGTCGCCGGAGTGAGACGCAGGCGGAAAGCAGCCCTACGACGGGTTGCTTATCTTTTGGCACGCTACTTGCTTGAGGGTGATTGACCCAGGCATAACATGTCAGGAGGACCCAGGTCAGAGGAGGTAGTCGGCCCTTCAAGGGGGAAGGCCCGGAAGGGACGAGTCCCATATCTTGGGGATGGCTACATTCATTTGGTGGGAGCAGACTTCGTCATACAGACTTTTCGGAAGCCACTCTATGGAGACCGTTTCCTGGAGGTTTCTTATGATTACATCTACGGCAAGGGACGGATTGAAATCTTGATTGGTGCCACTGGCAACATTTCCCTCGCTAAGGAGCTGTACCTCCGGAGTGTCGTGGACGAGGAGATGACGAGGTGTATGGCATACATCAGCAAAATCGATCCTGCAGCATCCTTTGGCATCAGCTATGTGGTCCCGGAGTCGATGGCCACTCAGGTTCTCAATGATGAGGAGGACCAGCGTGTACCAGATACGGAGTCCCAGACAGTCGAGCCCACTCATGAGGGGGTACCACTCGTCGTCATTGATTGAGGTCGTATCTTTTAGTCACTAAGATGTATTTTGACATTATTATGATTTATCAGTGACTGCAGGCCCTCCTATGGCTGCTTCCTTCATTCTCTGTGTACTACCGTGACTCTTCAGTCTCGTGTCTCTGGTCATGCTCTTGCAGCGTCTGGTTTCTGGTCTTTTCGTCCTCTCAGTGTCATTTGATTTATGATGCATGTCCTGTAATGTATGGAATGTTTGTGCATGAGATAAAAAGTTATTTATTACTCCTTATCATAACAGGTTACGCTCAAGGCTACTTGAAGGACTTCTGGATAATAGGGACTCCGGTGACCTTGATTCTAACCTTTATACGGGGTCAGGTGCAGGCGATAAAACCAAACGCCTCACTCTAAGCCGTGTCTCCGCTAGCAGGAGGGATAATTCTGACTACTCGACTGCGTGACAAAGGCTGCTTGTGAATTTACTTTTAATTTCCCTAAAACTTTCCAAAATCGTGAGTGACAGTCTGCCAGTCCACCAACCCACCGCACTCGGCCCGGGGAGGGACATCGAACCAGACCTTAGAACGGTGGGGGCGCGACATAGCGTCCCAACCCCTCTCCCATCTCAATCTCGACATTGTCCCAACTCTCCTTCCCTGATCCCGACCTCTCCCTGCCACCTTCCCTTCCTTCCCGTCTCGACCTCTTTGCCCCTCTCCTTCCTTCCCTCGACATCGTCCCAACTCTCCCTCCCTAATCCCGACCTGTCCCTCCTCTGTTCACGTCTCCCATCCCGGCCTCCCGATCCCGACCTCCCACCTCGACCTCCCCGTCCCAACCTCTCCCTCTCTGCCCTTGCTCCCCCGACCGCGTCCCAAGCTGTCTCCCATCCCGACCTCCCGACTCCCATCCCATCCCGACCTCGACATCGTCCCAACTCTCCCTCCCTGATCCCAACCTCTCCCTCCTCTGTTCGCGCCTCCCATCCCGACCTCCCGGTGCCGACCCAATCGCGTCCTCTTGACCTGATCCCGACCTTTCCCTTCTCCGTTCCCGGCCCCCATCCCGACCGTGACCTTGCCCGACCAAAAAAAAAAAAAAAAAAGGGAAAAAAAAAAAAAACGATCAACTAACCATCGTGACCTCCCCGTCCCGACCTCTCCCTCTCTCCCCTTGCTCCGCCGACCGCGTCCCAACCCGTCTCCCATCCCGACCTCCTGACTCCCATCCGATCCCGACCTCCTGACTCCCATCCGATCCCGACCTCGACATCATCCCCACTTTCCCTCCCTGATCCCGACCTCTCCCTCCTATGTTCGCGTCTCCCATCCCGACCTCCCGGTCCCGACCTCCCATCCCGACCTCCCTGTCTCTCCCTCTCCCTCTCTCCCTTTGCTCCCCCGACCATGTCCCAACCCGTCTCCCATCCCATCCCGACCTCGTCCCAACTTTCCCTCCCTAATCCCGACCTCTCCCTCCTCTGTTCGCGTCTCCCATCTCGACCTCTCCCTCTCTGTCGTTGCTCCGCCGATCGCGTCCCAACCTGTCTCCCATCCCGACCTCCCGACTCCCATCCCATCCCGACCTCGACATCGTCCTAACTCTCCCTCCCTAGTCCTGACCTCTCCCTCCTCTGTTTGCGCCTCCCATCCTGACCTCCATCCCGATTTCCCCGTCCCGACCTCTCCCTATCTCCCTTTGCTCCCCCGACCTCGTCTTCCCGACCTGATCTCGACCTTTCCCTTCTCCGTTCCCGTTCCCCATCCCGACCTCGACCTTGCGCGAAAAACCCGACCTCCCGGCCCCGACCTCCCATCCCGACCTCCCCGTCCCAACCTCTCACGCTCTCCCCTTCCTCCCCCGACCGTGTCCCAACCCATCTCCCATTCCGACTCCCTCCTCTGTTCGCGTCTCCCATCCCGACCTCCCGATCCCGAGCTCCCATCCCGACCTCCCCGTCCCGACCTCTCCCTCTCTGCCCTTGCTCTCCCGACCGCGTCCCAACCTGTCTCCCATCCCGACCTCCCGACTCCCATCCCATCCCGGCCTCGACATCGTCCCAACTCTCCCTCTCTGATCCCAACCTCTCCCTCCTCTGTTCGCACCTCCCATCCCGACCTCCCGGTCCCGACCCAACCGCGTCCTCCTGACCTGATCCCGAGCTTTCCCTTCTCCGTTCCCGTCTCCCATCCAAACCGTGACTTTGCCCGACCAAAAACAAAAAAAAAAACAAAAAACGGAAAAAAAAAAAAAAAACGATCAACTAACCATCTTGACCTCCCCGTCCCGACCTCTCCCTCTTTCCCCTTGCTCCGCCGACCGCGTCCCAACCCGTCTCCCATCCCGACCTTCTGACTCCCATCCGATCCCGACCTCGACATCGTCCCAACTTTCCCTCCCTGATCCGACCTCTCCATCCTCTGTTCGCGTCTCCCATCCCGACCTCCCATCCCGACCTCCCATCCCGACCTCCCATCCCGACCTCCCCGTCCCGACCTCTCCCTCTCTCCCTTTACTCCCCCGACCACGTCCCAACCCGTCTCCCATCCCGACCTCCCGACTCCCATCCCATCCCGACCTCGTCCCAACTCTCCCTCCCTAATCCCGACCTCTCCCTCCTCTGTTCGCATCTCCCATCCCGACCTCCCGGTCCTGACCTCCCATCCCGACCTCCCCATCCCGACCTCTCCCTCTCTCCCCTTGCTCCCCCAACCGCAACCTCCCGACTTGAACCTTGCGCGACAAAAAAAAAAACAAAAAAAAAAAACGGGAAAAAAAGGAAAAACCATCAACTAACCTTCGTCCGCCATCTCCGCACAACGTCCACACTCTCCTTCTTCTCCTCTCCCCCGGCGCACTCTTCCTGACCTCGAGGAATGTTTGCACCTGCCTTCGCTCTTTCGTCGAACCGGACGTCTCTCTCTCTCTCTCTCTCTCTCTCTCTCTCTCTCTCTCTCTCTCTCTCTCTCTCTCTCTCTCTCGTCGAACCGAGCGCAGCAACCAGCACAGCGACCACAAAGCGTGCGAAGTCGTCGCATCGAAACAACAATGCACGAAGCGGCATACGATTCCAAAAGCCAGACCGGCGACAACCGTTAAGATTGTCGAGCGGCTCCGGGCTGGACGACCCGATAGAAGTTTCGGGAATCATTTGGCGCGGATCCCTGAAACCTCGAGCGGGCTGTCCAACCCACGCCTCGCCGGTCCGGCCCGCTCTGAAGGCCTCATGCCGTGTCTGTCGGGCCCGCCTACGGGTCCCACCTCGTTTCCCAACAGCGGAAAGCGGGATCTCGCTGGAGCGTTACGCGAGACCCGCTATTCGCATAAAGAGTGTTAAGGATAAGGATAATAATAATAATAATTGCAAGAAACATGATTGTTAATCACATACAGAAAACCAAGTTGCAAAATCACGCATATGTCTGAGTAGTCGTGTACGAGCAAAGAACGCAATAGCACCTAACATCCATCCAAATAGAGCAATACAATGAACTCATGAGCCAACGTTCAAGCCCTTATGTCACACCAACACAGTATCCAATGTCGCTGCTCCCTATCTGGCGCCAGCGCCCAGCCTATACCACTCACCTACTCTACTATAGTTGCATGCACGCAACAGGCCCACTTAGACTAGGTGACCAACTTACATGACGTCAACACGAAAGCCGACCTTTCACATACATAAGGTACGTACTCATCTCCCCTCATCAGACCTTAATCACCTACACACTCACCGCCTTCCTGAAGACCACCAATTGGCCGTCTACCCCCTAACTTCCAACCGACCATTAGTAACAGCTCCCTGTTACACTGCAATCACATCCAAGCGCACTTGATCACACCCGCGTCCAAGTGCATTTGAAAAATAATGAAAGTTAAAACGCTAAATAAAATAATAATATATTGTAAAATAAGGATAATAAAACCATAATAATCAATAATATTAAAATATCAATAAAAACACACCAATAATTATTATGATAATACATAATAATAATAATAACTATAATAACAAGAATAATAGTGTTTACCGGCTATCTTTCCAGTACAGTACAGTTAACAAAGAGTGAGTCTCGACATGTTTAAGCAAAGCCGTTGCATAGCTCCGACCCTCCCCCGCTCGTTTCCTTCTTCTCCCTCACCGTGATTCTCTTCTCCTCCTCTGTGTTATTCTACTCCTCTTCGTAGCTAAGATAGAGTCGCTATGATAATAATAATAATAATAATGGTAGTAATAATAGTAACAATAACAATAATAATAATAATAATAATAATAATAATAATAATAATAATAATAATAATAATAATAATGCAAGGAAAACGAGTGATAGCGAACTTCAGAAACCAAGCAACATCACACACATGAGACCAGATAGTCGTGACCTCGAACCAAAAGGAAAATTGCATCACGAGTCCCACCAAATAAGAGCACACCAAAAACTCATAAGTGACAATGTTCGAATAGTCTTCTCATCATCAACAAAGGATCAATGTCGACATCCTATCTGGAGCTCGGCACCCAAACTACAAATGGCAGATCCTATCTAGCCTATCTACAATGTCGCTGATAACGTCAACAGTTCTCCGAAGTACAAGCAGATCTCGGCCAATGTCATTCGCCTCAAGCACCAGGTATATCTCTCGTATCACTCACAACCTCGATCCCCAACTCACAGATGTCACATGCACCCAAGAACCACCATGCGCCCCATCCAACACACATCAGCACAATTCGGTTATGGCTGCCTGCCTTACGCTTCTTCTTCTTCTTCTTCTTCTTCTTCTTCTTCCCTCTTCTTCTTCCTCTCCGTCCCTCTTCTTCTTCTTCTTCTTCTTTTCTTCTTCTTCTTCTTCTTTCCTCTTCTTTTTCTTTTTCTTTTTCTTTTTCTTCTTTTCTTCTTCTTCTTCTTCTTCTTCTTCTTCTTCTTCTTCTTCTTCTTCTTCTTCTTCTCCTTCTTCTTCTTCTTCCCTACTTTATCTTTCCTCCTTCTCCTTTCGCTACATTTCCACGATCTCCTCTCTTCCGCGATGTTATTCCCTCTCGTCCCACGGTAGTTACCATATCCCTGCGCATGACCTTCTTCTACCTTCTCGCTCTTCTTTATGAGATCTACCTACCCTCTCTCTCTCTTACTCACACACAGTCGTGCATACATACGAGCGAGCACACACACACACACACACACACACACACACACACACACACACACACACACACACATGCATACACACACACAAACAAATGTAGCAATGTATATTTCCACGTTTTAGTTATAGATTCATTCGGTTTTTGCTCGTTCGATCGATAGAAGTACAGGGAAGACCGGTCGCGAGGTTCGACACGCACACATACCTACACATGCTCATACACAGGTAGAAGCGCACTTTTACCTATTTTAGTGATAGATTCGTTTGGTTTTCGCTCGCCCTATCGCTGAAAGTGTCAGGGAGTGAGCTGTGAGATAAGAGACGTACCCGTCTTCTCTATCTCGTTGTTGATGTTGTCGCCAACCAACAGTGATTGTACCTCCCCGCTCAACCAACGCAGTTCTATCCGACAAGAAACGCAGCACATGGATATCACAACATGCGGGATACAACTGGCACGTGCACACATCCTACCAAGCCTTCACACTCACATACGGTAAGCAGTGGTCGCCTGCGCCACCAATCCTCGACGCCACTTAGATAGCAAGGAGCTTAGAGCCTCCTAACCAAGGCACGATCCCTCCGGTCGAATCACAGCACACTGTTGTGAGTGCAAACACGAAGATATCACTGCAACAAGGCCGCAAACACTGTCCTCGAAGCTGGGAATAGGAGACAGATAAGTCCTCTTCATCCCCCTTTCCTCCTCCTTCTTCTTCTTCTTCGCATCCCTCCTTTCTTCTATACAGCTTCTGCCCGCTTTTCTTTCCCGCACTCTGCTTCTCTCTCTCTGCGCTCTCTTTTTCTCTCTAATCACCATCTCTTTCTTTCCAACCGCGCGGTCTCCTTTGCTGCATCGTGCTTCATCCTCCTCGCATCGCACTCTTCTTGTGATCGTGTAGTAGCTACTTCCCTTGTAGTGGTTTGGTTGCAACTCCCATCGGCCCATCTTTTTTTCAAAGTCGATATCCGAATAGTACCAGTGGTACTGTTCGATGAATTTGTTGAAGATCCCGCGAAAGATTAATCAAAACAAACTATCAGAAACATGTACGGGCCAAAAAGGAAAAAAAAAATAAAAAATAATAATAATAAAAGAGGAAAACTAACTGCTAAAGATAATTAAAGTCAATAAAAGAAGAAAAAAAACAAAAGAAAAGAAAAGGAATCTAACTGGTAACTAACCCGTCGTGCCAAGTGTCGGGCAAACTAACTAACTATAATGAATCCTAACACTAAGGTCGCGGGTTCAAGTCCCCGTCAGCCATCCGCGGGGCTAAAGTCGAGCTCCTTGCAAAAAAAAGGAGCTAG